GTGTGTGTGTGTGTGTGTTTGGTAGGTCAACAGTAATTTGTATAGTTCTGAAAACGAAACAAGGCTAGTTAAAGAAAAAAAAAGTTTTCATAGGCCTACAATAAAAAAGAATAAATTTGTCATAAATAATGAAGTACTGGAAAGAGATGGGATTTCAGATATCAATACGACCACAAAAAAGAGAAGTAGTGTGGAGATACTCAGGACAGGTTTTGAGAGTGCCAGAGACATGATTGCCCCATCACACATAGTTGTGGAGACCAAATGGAAAAATAAGAAGAGGTATACCAACTGTCAGCTGAATGAATACGATCAGAGATGAGGATATCAGCCAAGCGTTGAATGCTACCACCCATGAGTTGGATGTGACAAAGCTGGAGGTGGGAATTGGGGTGTTATTGGGGGGGGGGGTGTTGTGTGTTCTTAGTTATCCCTCCTCTCCGCAGTATTGATACCACTGGTCTGACTTTTCAGAACGGCTGATAAGGACAATCTAAAGAAGAGAATTATTAGATTCCACAGTGCGGATTAACAAAATTCTACCAAGTTTTTTTGCAGTGGGTTGTTGTTTTTTTGACAAGTGTTTTACGGCGCTCGCAAATGCATAAGGTCATATGTGCGCACGGGACACACCATTTTTAGTTGGTAGGAAATTTTGAATTTTGCCCAGGTGGCGGCCGAAGTCTACTCTTGTCGATTTTGGACTACCTAGGGATCTTTAAAGTGCACAACTTGCACCTGGGGCCTCCAAGATTTTTCATCCTTGTCCAAGAAGGCTAGGTATAGATCTCACCTACCATAAGATCATGGATGTGGGTGAAAGACAGCTGTAAGAGGGAACCAAGGAGAAGCTGTAGAAAGGCTGCAGAAAGAGTCAGGAGCCCAGAGGAGGGGGCAAAAGGGGATGGAGATGGGGGGCAGAAAGTGGAGATGAAAGCAGATGACAGAACATTGTTAGAGAGCAGGAAAGGATGTGAAAGGAGAAAATTTTAGAGGAGAAAATTTTGCGCTGCTATCAGAATATTTGTTACACATGCTAACTACAAGTGTGCTTACATTTTTGTCTTGCTCACTCCCAATTGCCTGTAGTTAATAAAACACCACATTTGCCAGTGCCAAGGCATAGAAAATAAATAACATTTTATTGATCCCCGTGAGTAAATTTGGGTTATAATGGCAAACATACATACATACGTAATTAGAAATGCATATGTACCTAAATACATGCGTAAATACACAATATTACATCAATACAGAACAATTTACAACCATGCATTTGCTGGTCGCCACTGTGCAGTGTCCTGTTTTTCGAGCTAGGGTTGTCGTGTCTTGCTCAAGGACACACCCCAGTGACCACCAATCTAAACCCTGTGTCACCGACACTTGCTTGACATGACTTTGACTCTGAATTCACCTCTCACTCAGCCATTAGAGCCAACTATGTATTCAAAGCACAAACCCTCGAAAGCTTCTCATGTACAGAGAGTTAAATTGCTGTGCAAGAATTGTCGTCAGCTGAGTCAATTCGTTCAACAAGTTATCAACACTCGAGATCATGATAACATTAAATCTTGATCTGAGTGCTCTGTCACCTATCCATCTACCTCTACAGGACCACTTTTCAACAAGAAAGACATTGTATAAACTCTAGGTTTCAGAGATACTTTTTAAAAGGTTTTTCTTGTTCCATTAGTTAAGTTTGATATCTTCGGTTTCTTTTCTTGATAACTCCATTGATAGCCTACCCATCCTGTCCACTAGTAGTTCCGACTTTTTTTGTTTCTTTAAGTCTGTTTTATTTATTATAGCATTTCTAAAACGGAATCAGAACAAAGTCTTTTGTTTATTTCAAAAGAGGTTTTAGCATGCATATTTTATTTATTATTGCATTTCTAAAACTGAATCAGAACAAAGTGTTTTGTTTATTTCAAAAGAGGTTTTAGCCTGCAAGTCATCTTTAAAAGAACTGCATTTCGCTAGTTTTTTTCCCCCAATGACTCCACTTCATTTCTCTTAATGGAATTTTCACAGAAAGAAAGAGAAGAAGAAGAAGATGCCCGGTCCTCCCGCTCCTCCTCCTCATCCTCCAGATCTTGTGTCGGAGGGCTCCGTGGTCAGTGAGGTATGTTCTCTTTTTTATCCTCTCTAGACGTTACCAAGGGCTGTAGTGGTGATTAACCCTTCCAGCCCCAAGGGCGTATATTTTCAGCAGGGCTTGCACCTCCCACCGTCCCAAGACCGTATATCTTCAGTTCAGGAGGGGACCGAATCTGCATATTTTTCTCAATTAGCAAACCTAATTAAACGTTAATTTTCATAATATTTGTTCATTTACTTTTAAAGATTGTTATATGTTGTTATCTGAACCTCATTACAAAGATACCTCATCACTTTTTAGAATGCATGCCTCTTTTTCTGAAATACTGCTGTATTGGCTGGGACTGGGGTTAGCGAGTGCATAAAAATGGCTGGGGCTGGAAGGGTTAAGATGTTTGATTGAAAATAGTGAGATCTGTAGTGTGATTCTGGAGACTAGCTGAGATTAAAAAAGGAGAAGTAGACCAACTGGCAGCTGTTAGAGTACAGTCAGATGGTAACAAAGCTGGACAAAGTCGGATGGTAACAAAGCTGGACAAAGTCGGATGGTAACAAAGCTGGACAAAGTCGGATGGTAACAAAGCTGGACAAAGTGGCCATGGACAGACAAGTGTGGTGTTTACTGCGCTCTCAGACTTGTGTACGTGACGGTGAAGGGAGAGAGAAGGAGAATGATTTCCTTCTGGAATGAGCCGTGTGCTGTTTGCTTGGGAAATGACTTTGTCATTATTTCCTCTGTCAGCCCATAGCCATAGGTAGTTTGTAGCCAGTAGGAACGGATGATTGTGAACAGTAGTGCCTAGATACATAATGATGTATGCAGAGAGAGAGAGAGAGAGAGAGACAGAGACAGAGACAGACAGAGAGAAAGAGAGAGAGAGAGAGAGAGATAGGGAGGGAGGGAGGGAGAGAGAGAGAGAGAAATAGAAAAAGGAAGAATAAACTGGTTTTCTTAAGGTTTTCGCAAGTTAAAGTCAAGAACTAGAATCTGAAATTTTTTGTTGTAGTAAAAACTTTGTAAAGAAATTTGGCATTTGTGCAACATAAGTGAAAAAATGCTTGTAGACCCTGCACCAACTGTTGTGGACTCTTTTTTTGGTCATAACTACAAATCAGGTGCTTCCACATCATTTTGATTTACCTAGCACTAATCTATTTTAGGCAGCAAGTGACGTCAGCATGAAAATGAAAGCTCCTTCAAAGTTACAACGGCCGATGAAGAAGGCACCAAAAGCAGTTGAAAAGAAACTGTAAGTATTGATGATACTTTCAAAAATGATTATAGCCCTTACTAAACAGATAAGATAAGATAAGATAAGATAAGATCAAATTCATCTTTATTGTCCAGAACCTGGCAGGGCGGTTTGGTATTTCACCAGGTACACACACACACACACACACACACACACACACACACACACACATACACACACATATACACACTCACACACACACACACTTACACGCACACGCACATTCGCACACCCACACACACACAAACATGCACACACACACACACGCAGGCTTACAGTTACATGCATAATATATATAAGTGAACAGTAATATAATAAGCAATAATAATTCTTAAGCTAGATACATATACCACTTACAACCCGACTCTTGAACTTCATCAAATGAAAAGAAAAGGTATTTTTGTCTTGTAAGTGCATTTGTTCATGTCGTGATTTTACAACTTCTTTCTTTGGTGTTTTCTGGTCGCCGACTGTCCACAGTCCATTCCAAAAAGCCTTGATGCAGCAGTTTGAAGCCGCACAAAACACAACTGAAGAGTTAGCGGTAGAGTACGAAGGAGGGTGAGTAACATGCCGTTGCCCTCGTAATGAGACCAGCTAACCCGCAAAATACATTCTTTTTTTTCTTCTTTTAGTTAATGAATCGGTCGTCGTAAATTATCCATTTCATGTGCTCATTCAGAGACAGGTCTGAATTTTGACATGAAATGCTCTTTACAAAATTAGAAATAAATCTGGCCTCCAGGTTGCCTTAAGATGAAACAAAATTTTCTTTCGAATTTTTACTTTTTTGGCTTAGCACCTTTTATGTCTTTTTAAAACGCATTTCTATGTGGAATTTACTGAAAACCGTTAATTAAAGGCACAAAAAATGAACATTTTCTTGTCCCAAGGGCTCTCAAGCTTAAGCAGTTACAAAACTTTGGCGGGTATTTTCTAGATAATTTTACTCCAGAAACCCGGTGACCCCACCTTCTGCCATCGCAAAAATCTCGGCTTCTATTCAAGGTAGACGGGTATTTTTTTTTATCGAATGCAAGACAAGTGAACAAGCTTCAAGATGATGCCAGTAACTCCACATGCCGTAAACTTGACGAGCGCCTGATTTCACTGCCTCTTGACACATATAATTATTTCTCCTGATGATGAGATATCTAAGTATTCTAAATAAGAAATAGTATGTCTTTCAGAATTCTGAGCCAAGCTGTATGATCATCCATAAGTAACCATGACAAGTCTCAAAAGTAGCCTGAAAAACATTGCTTAAAGGCATAAAAAGTATTAATTTTCAGTTTCCAAGGACTCTCAAGCTATGGAAACTACCAAACTTTGGTGGCCATTTTCTCGCTTATTTCCCCTCTGAAACCAGGCGACCCTAACATCCATCAATCACAAGTACATGGAATATTTTGTCTTCTCTTCAACAGAGATGGATATATTTTTCACCGAAAGCAAGGCAAATGAACAGGCTTTAAGATGATACCAATAAGATGATACCAATAAGATGATACCAATAAGATGATACCAATAAGATGATACCAATAAGATGATACCATTAACCCTAGATGCCCAAGAATTAACGAGCGCCTGATTCCACCACGTCGCGACACATATGGATTAGACCCTAAAGTTCTTTCTTGGATTCTTGAA